TTAGGAAGAAGTCAACTGGTGCCTGTGAGACTTCTCGCTACTCTACAGAGCTCTGCAGACAGCTGAAGAGCAGTAACATGGTTCACAATACTGATACGAGCATTCATACATCCTTTATTCACATCACTGCTACATCTGCCTTATAAAAATTCAGCAGATAGTAGTATGATGACTAGAAAGCCTTGCCTACAGTAAGCTTAGTATGTTTTGTTGCTGTATATTTTCAAGATACCTGATGTTTGCAGACTGGAAAGATGGAATACTGACTTACTCTGTTTTAAGATAATATTTTGTGTGTATGAATTCTTTTGGCAGTGCTTGTTCTTGCAGTTTTATAACACGTTTGTTTATTGTTTCTCTTCCTTTTCATTCCCCCCCCCCCCTCACCAAAGCCTCAAAATACAACCCCAGGAAAATGTCTGAAAATATGACTTACCTTGGGGAGAGGGAGAACAAAACCCAAACTTACTCCATCCAGAAGTAATCTAGGGATTTCCTGTTGTTTGCTTCCATTTTGTGATGTGGTTTTGTTTTCCCTTTATCAGTTTTAAGGGTAGGACAAAAATTATCTTCTTACTGTTTGAGGTTTGGTTTTTTTGTTTGTTTGTTTGTTTGTTTGTTTGTTTTTTGGTTTTTTGTTTGTTTTTTCTGTTTTGTTTTGTTTGGGGCTTTTTTGTTTGGGTTTTTTTTTCAAGGAGAAGACAAGTTTAATAAAAGTTTGCTTCCTTTTTGAGATCAGAGAGGCATTGTAAAAAAGATGTTTCAGTAGTTTGATCTAAAGAAAGGTTCAAATCTTTAAGTACAGTAAAAAATACTTTTAGCATCCCTCACTGCCCTTTTTATTTACATTTAATATCATGTTCAGGGAGCTCCCCTACTTTGGATTTAAAATATAATGCAAAAAATAAACAGAATTTAATCTTGTGAGGGAATTCTTGGTTTCCTACAGAAAAGAACAAAGTTTAACAGCTTATTCTGATTTTCTCCGATATTGTTACTTAGCAGGTTCCTGAATCACAACTTACTGGGGTGAGAGATTGCTTTAATAAACAGACTAGAAATTAGTGTAGTTTCAGTTGATGTTACATTTTTCTGGAGTATAAATGGTCATTAAACAGAAGTTGGGGAGAGCTGTTCTCTTTTGCTGCTTTGCAGCATGCCGCTCCCCACGGTGATAGAGGATATCTGGCTTTACCTGTTAAATAAAAGTCTTCCTATTGCAAAACCAGGGTAGTGTTCCAGGAGAGGCTAACTCTCACCTGTACCTTCTAAGACTGTCTTTGATGATGTGAGATTTCAGTGGATCAATATATTTGTAGGGCTTTAAATGGGAGTTTTGAACTCTAACAACTAGTCTTTTTAAATCAGAAGGATCTGTGTGCTTTTCTTGCCCAGAAGTATTTGGTGAAGTATCTTACAGATATATTTCCAGATGCTCACAGAGGACTTGTTTCAAACAGTGAACTGAAACCTGCCTTTCCTTTTATAGAGTATTGAGTTAAGTCACCTCTGTTTTTTAAGGAGTCAGGTAATTGTGAAAACTGTAAGGTCAGATCAGTCAAGAGTGAAAGAAAGAAACAGAGCAGTGGAACTTTTTGCTTAAATATTTTGATCCTTAGGATAGGGATTAAAGGCTTTAGAAAGTAGAGGTAGAGGTGTGTAGCGTGACTGAAGTTAGCCTGAGCCTAGTAATGCATAGTGCATCCACAATGCCAGTTCACTTGAATATATGATCGTTACTGGGTTGTTTGGTTTTTTTTTTTTTCATGTATCAGAGCTCACAGCTTTCTACTGTCAAGTACTGTACTTAGAGTGGGGACCCCACCCCATGGGTAGAACAAAAGGTATGCACTGCATCAGGCTTAGATCAACACAAGTATTCAGTGTTACTAGTTGTGTGTGTGAAAAACAGGACCTGAGAAATGTCGCTGAGGCAGTGGGTTCTGCTACTTTCCAAATAGCTGTGTTCACTATTACAGACTTAGAACCAGCAGCAAATAAGAGTATGATGGACACAGAACACCAGGCCACTGAAAACTGACTGGCAGGCCATGCAGGAGATTCTCAATTTTTTTCACTTCCTGGCAGTTTAATATGCTCCGTTACATAGCGCCTCTTTAAGAATTAGTTACCACTACTAAATATTCAGAAAAACAACCTAACTATACTTGGCACTGAGCCCTAAAAAGCTGTCTACAAAAACCTTGCAAACAGAAGCCTATGTGCAGTGTAGACTTGTTCTGTAACATCCAGTGCTTGCCTTTGCAGCGTGCCAAGGTTAGCAGCATCTGCTTACACTGCACAATGGCTTGATCTTCTTCTAGGGAATGGTCTGGTTAAGTCAGAGGCTTACTGGGTAAGAAGCTGCTACTAATCACAGCTATGGTATCTTAGCTATAGAAGTGGCGAAACTTGCTTAGTGGTGATATTACTGAATTCTGTAGCATTTAGATAAGAAACAAAACCCTACATACAGAGTGTGTGACGTGCAAAGCAGGTGCATGTTTCATCTTAGAAACATGACTAGTGTAAGGTTGCTGACCTTTACATTAATGTTTCTATTTCCACATAAATTTGAAATTTGGCCATAAGCTTGGCGTTAAATACCTTGCGAGTAGAAATCGCAGTAACCAAATCTGCATTCTGAAGTGACTGTTACACAGATCAAAACTGTTGCTTGTCCATGCTGCTGTAGTTGTTAGCCATTCATTTACCAACATTACAGTTAAGAAATATGGAAGATGGAAAAGACAGATATTCTCCCGCTCATATCTTTTTTCCTTTTTTAGTCTATGTGTAGCACATCTGTCTTAATTTGGGTTAAGTCTCACATACGTATGTCTTGAGATTTGCTATCTCTTAAACACGGAAACATTCATTAGCATTGATAATAAGCAAGAAAAAGAAGGAAGAGTATTATAAGCATATTGAAAGAACTGTAATTTGGAATGCTCCATTGGCTCTCCTAATAGTTCCAAATATGCATCAAAGAGAATGGAGAAATGATTGAACCTTCTGGATCTTCATTTTCCGGTGCTCTTCTTAGAGTAACTCCCATAGATGGTGTGGGGTAACTGTTGAACAAAAAAAGTAAAAAGCAATTCAGAAGGAATTCCGAAGGAGGGAAAAAAAGGTACTTTTCTGGAGAAAAGAATGTTGCATGTTTAGGTGACCTTCCCATCAGTTGTGCAGAAACAGCTTGGTTAACCATGGAAGTCTTCTTTCAGTATATAACCCAAATAAACCCACTTCTTTTGCTGGGATTGCCATTCAGCAAAGGAGTCTCCTTTCTGCATGCATGGGGCAAGACACATACTCATACTGTAAGGAATCTTCTACAGGTTGATTTTGTCAAGGGTGTGAGTTCGCCTTTTTGTTTTTAATAGGTACACTTTTTCATTGTAAAACTGCAATTACAAAGTTGCTGGGAGAGTTACTTATGCAGACTATTCTAGAGGAAGAAAGTTCAGAGTACTAGAATGGAATTCAGAAGTCACTGGGTTCATCATTGTTTTTTCAAAGTTGCATTCCTAAATACATTTTTATAACTCAGACGATGAATTCCTTTAACATTTCTCACTGTAGCAGCTTAAAAGCAGCTGCAGTTTTCAAATTCTGATGTGATAATAATGCGAAAAAATTAGCTTATTTGGACAAAACTCGCAAGGTATTGATTATCATTAATTATGTGATTCATTTATTTGTATTACAGATGTGATATTCATACTGTTTTGGTGATTTGACTTGCACAAAGGGATGTCTTGTTTAGTAATTAACGTGGACAAAGATGATGTGGTATTGCATGAAGATCAGGTTTCCAGGTGGCTAATTTTAGCTGCTTTCAGCTGTGTTGATGTCAAGGTCATCTTGATTTTTCCTAAGGACCTTGTAGACAAGCCAGAACTTGTTACACTGGCAAGGCATATGGTGCTTAGTATGTGCATCTTTCTGCAGAGGTGTTCTGTACCACCAGTAGGAGTAAAGAATCATTCAAGGCATTGCAGACGTAAACCTTAGCTTTCTGTTGTTCAACTAATAAGGATCAGAATACAGTTCTTAGTGGTAGCTAGTGTTTGGGTGAGTAGATCCACAAGTGAAAATCAGCATTTTAAAAAAGTGCTTTATATAATTAAATCACAAATATGTGACTCATTAAAATTCCCGGGAAAGGCATTACCAGTCCTTACAGTATATTAAGAACGGATGCAACTTAGGAGAGAGAGTCTTAAAGATTTTGTGTGCACACAGAATTGATAGTAATACTTCTCTGTCATGAATGACCATATCAACTCTAAGCAAAGCATTCTTACGGTAGAAGCAATGTTTTACTTATGGAACAGATGAGGAAGGATTTGGGAAGGTTTTCTCGAAGGTAGAAGCTTTTTTTGTGCTAAACTTCATTTCTCGGGGCTTCCTTTACAGTGATACACAGAGGACGTGAGAAAACTGTTAGTTGTTGTGGAGCACATTAAAATTCATTTAGGCCTTCAAGGGAAAAAAAACCAGTGGCTGTACAAGCATTGAGGACAGTGATTTGTCCTTGCTGTGGGAGGTACTGTGGAGGTCTTCAAAGGCATGTCCTATGCAACCCACAGCGGAATGTTGGAGAAATGCCTCTCTATGAAAAGCCTACTCAGCAGAGTACTGAAGCTGTTGGGAACACTGCTATCATGATTCTGTCTCCTGGTATTGTCAACTTGATTGCTTTTACATTAATTAAGATGTCATTCAGACATGTGTAGTGCACCTTTGCCTCCTGCAAGACAGCGTGTCAAATTCTTTTGAATGCTGCTGAGAAGATGCTCCCCTGGCTGCTGTGAATCAGGGCATATGTGAGGAAGCCTACAGCTGTTATCTGTTCCACCCTTAGTATTTTTTCGGGCTAGCTCTTCCATGTGAAGAGCAGTACGGTCGATACCTGCTGCTGTTAATGGCTTTCGCAGGCAGCAGCAGCAGCACGAATTTCATGTGATTCCTGCCAATTTCCCTGCTACTCACAGGATTGCGGGGAGCAGCGGGAAACTGACAGGAGGCTTGTTCCGTGCACTCGGCTGCTGCTTGGCAAAGCTATTAGCAGCAGCAGATACCCTGGAGCTCGCTCTGTGCAGATTCAAGACATTGCATTGGTTTATGTTCAGTTATATTTGGATGATTATCCTTGCAACCTTGGAAAGTGAAAACACATTTTTCCAAATCTTTAGTTTTTAAATACATGGCTGCCTCACGGTTTTCTTCCCACTTTCTCCTATGCATTTGTCAGTTAAGAATTGCTTTTCTACTGCTGGTAGATGGAATAGGTTTGTAAGCTGTTGGTGAAGAATATGTTCCTTTAGGATGTTTGATCCTCACACAGTAAGGGGGAGGGGTATTTTTGGCTTGGCAAAAGGTTCTGTCCTTTTTGTTGTAGATGCCGTGTAGCTTTTGAAATTCTTTTTGGTGTGCATGATGATTTATAACTAACTTTATTTTATAGCCATGCATTTTTTGGAAGTATGAAATGACTATCAGAATGAAAGACTTCTGCTGAATTACATGATCTGTGTTGCTTTGGTTGCTAAGTACACGCAGATACTGTCCTCTGTACTAGTTCTTCTAATCTCAAAGCACTTGTGTTGCTTTCCAGTTTTGTTTTTTGTGACAATGGTGACTCCCTTGATGAAGGTTTCATTACAGCTTTATTTAGATTAAAATGGCTGGCTGGTGCCTTCCTGTGCCTTGATGAATGTCATTTCCATATGGTTAGAAATGTGATAGCAAAATAAAAGAACAACAAAAAGAAAGTTCTTGTTTTCCTAACAAATAGATTACTGTTTGTGCAATGCAGGAGACACCACTTACAAACAGAAGCAGTAGTGCAGAGCAAGAAGCAGAGGGTCAGCCAGAGAAATTAGAACATAAACTAGTCTTGTCCAGCATACTCACAGCTCCACAGTAAGAAAGTAATAAAAGTTGTTGAGGAACAACTTGGGAGTCAGCTTTACGCTCTGCAGCGTAAGAAATTTTGCTTTGGAGGAATAAAATGAGGCAGATTATTGTAAAAGAATTATGAAAAAGCCACTATTTCTGTATTGCCCACATAATTATTAGGTGGGTTTTGTTTGTTTCTGGCCCAGGAATGTTCAAGGATGTACCGATTTCTTTTTAAGAATCCTCAGACTGTACTCGCTTTCGTAGCCTTTTGATTAGAGCTGACATTGCACCTAGAGTACATTAGGAATATTTTTAGCTTATCTCAAAATGTAAAGTAGTGTGTGATTTAGCAGTTTTACTAAGTTACAAAATAATAACCCTAAAAGGTAAATCACTGCAATTTGTTACAGATACAGTAACTGTGATGTAGCAGCATCTTGGCTAGAGTTCTCAAAAGTAAAACTGAAATTTAATAATTGTCCTTGTTATGAAGTGGAATATTTACAGAAACATCTTTGAGTTTAAGCAGTGTTGTTAAGAAAACAGTGTATTGGTACCGCTAATGTTTTCAATGGACAATGAGCTTCATTTTGAAAATAAACTTAAATGGAAGTGAAATTTAGATTAAGCGTAAGGCCAAATCTTAACATTCTTGCAAGAATTAAAAATTACTATGGAAAAACACATCACAAAAGTGTAGATGTATATTAAGCAAAATAGAAATCAGGTCCTGATCTTTCTTCATTCTCCTTTAATGGGCTTCTGTGACTTAAGAGTGTTGCTAGATGGAGTGATGCTGTCAAAAGCTTCTTGTTTTTAATAACCTTTCAGGAACCTGATCATATCTGCTTTTTGGTTTTATTTGATATGTTGACAATACATATTTAAAAACTTGACTGATATTTGAAAATAGCACTTTGAAGCTACCTAATAGCATTACGATGGAAAGGATTTTACCATCGAGATGTGTCCCCAGGTCTTCTCCACGAAGTGTTCATGGGCTTTGTGCAGAGGGGTAAAGCTAAGTTCAGGAGTTCTTCCATTTTCTGTAGGAAGCAGGCTAGTCTGTGAGTTTGTATGGTCACTGCTCCTAGCTTACAGCAATGAGATAAAAAAAAGAATACATGGAAGGAATAGTGTCAGAGAGCAAGATGCGTTTGAGGCCACAGGCTTGTGTTTTGGTGCCTGTACCCTGTGGCATCTCTGGCCTCGCTCCGTTGTGGGAAGTGGAGCAGCAGAGTTGCAGTGAAGTCGGACCAGGCGGACACTGAGCTCCCAGGGTTTTCCATCCCTGTGAGCAGGCGTTGGTGGCAGCGCTGGCGGAGGAGCAGGAGTTAAAGCCCGCACCGCACGTAAGGGAGAGTGGCCCGTTGGGGGTTAAATTGCAGAGCCTAATGGAATAATAACGGGTAGCACCATCTGCTGGCCTACTTCCGCAGAAGGAGTCAGTATTTTTAACGACATCTCTAATATTCATGCTGATGCATTTTGATGCTTTGTGCATTCATTTCTTCCCGTGCTTTGTTGGAACCTGGCTCCGCGGTTACGGCGGGTGCCGACACCTGAGGCAGCCGGCTGGCACCCGTGGACCTGTGCTCACCCAGGGAGGAATATGTTGGTAAATCACAACGCGTGTTTGTGGAGGGTTGTACATCTCCTGGCTGCAGCTCGCTAAATAGGCCATTTAGCAATCTTCTCTCAATGCTTTTCTCTTGAGCACTGCCTGGGGTGCTGAAAAAGCAGAGGGCAAGCCTTTGTCTGATGCCAAACATGTCTTCAGTGAAGAGGCCAAGAGGAAGGGTAAGTGGAAGCCTGAATGAGTGGGAGGAGGAGGGGTTCTTTGGGCTAAAAGGCTAATGGGATTGAATAACCTTCCTTATTACTGGCTGCTGCTGCGGGAGCCGCGCCGCATC